AAAAGTTGACAGATTATCCTTAAATATTTACTTTATGAGAAGCACATATCCTGCAATCTGTTGCTGGTTAGCAAGATAGAAACAAAACAATAATTACTTTCAGCAATCACCAAGAGTAAACATATGTACAATGTTACAAATAAATTCTATTGTAAATAAATCCTGTTATCTTGAGTTATAATGCTAATTTTATTCAGAATTTTTAGGTGCTTACCAGAGAACACAGCATTTATCATTAACCTTATTATTTCTAACATTATTTATTAAAACAATGAGGAAAAAGATTCAAGACACCACACACTGTTAACAAATAACAGCACAGCCCTGCTAAACAGGCTCATCATTTTACAAATCCCCCAACAACTCATTCAGGACCCCTTAAAACTAGCAAAAATAACTAAACTAGTCTTAAGCACTTGAAATGAAAGCTGGGATTGGATGTTATTGAAAAATAATGAATGATTAAATAAAGCTCAATGACAACTCAAATATGGACACGATGATCAAACATGTCATTGTTTTACCCAGACTAACGGTGTAGGATCTATTTGGTTAGCATTTAATGACTAACCACATTTCTCACTTGCCTGGTTATCAATTAAAAATAGCTGACTTTACACTTCACATTATAATAATACGGCAAGGCTAAATCGCTCCCTGTAAAAGAACATACTGTCTCGCTAATGCTGCTGGGATTGTTTTGTCTGTACCACATATCACCTTTCACATGTGAAATGTGAAACCTATATGACTGTGAAACAAACTGTCAAATGTTTCAGCGGGCTGATCTAAGCACCTTTTCTAAAACACTGAAAACATAAATGTGATCTCAAGGCATATAGTTAAAAAAATATTACAGGGTGATCATTATATGGCAGTAGCACTAAAATTAACAGTAAAATAAAAATTTATTATTTCCTTACCATGATAGAAAATTGTAACAACTTGCGTGTAGTTCATTTACCTAATTTACAAATATGTTTTGATATAGAAAGAGCAAAAATATTTTGCATATGTCCAATAAATTACTGCAAAAAACTACTACTAAATTCAGGTCCGTAAGATTGTTAATATTCATATTTGTAATTTAGAAATGATTTAATAAGTGATAAATGCAGGGGCGGCATGGTGGCTCAGTGGTTAGCACTGTCAGTGTCACCTCACAGCAAGAAGGTCACTGGTTCTAGCCCCAGCTGGGCCAGTTGACATTTCTATGTGGAGTTTGCATGTTCCCCCCGTGTTGGCGTAGTTTTCCTCCGGTTGCTCCGGGTTTCCCCACAGTTCAAACACATGCTTTGAAGGTGAATTGAATAAGCTAAATTGGTTGTAATGTGTGTGTGAGAGAATGTGAGTGTATGAGTGTTTCCCAGTACTGGGTTGCCGCTGGAAGGGCATTCGCTATGTAAAACATATGCTGGATAAGTTGGCGGTTCATTCTGCTGTAGCGACCCCATGTAGCGATAAATAAAGAGACTTTGACTATATTTATATATATATATATTTATATATATATATATGAATATATGAAGAGTTTAAATGCAAAAACCTCTAAAAGCCGTCTGAAATGTCCTTTGAAAATTAGCATTTTTACTTGTGTGTAAGTATAGTTATTTAGGTTTATGGCAAAGAATACACTTTTTTTAAAGGTCTTTAAAATTAAATAACTCAAAAAAAAACATAGGAGTCTGAGAAAATTTGTCAATTTTTGATGGAAATTTCAAACGGCATAGAGGTTTTTGCATCTGAACATATATGAAAATATAAATGTATTTATAATCATATATATGTATACATATATATATAAACACACACCCACACACACAAATGTATGTATATATATATATATATATATATATATATATATATATATATATATATATATATATATATATATATATATATATATATATATGAAACGATTTTGAAACGATACATTTCACTAAACAATTCTGTAACTTAGATTAATAATTAGATTTTTTTGAGCACGAAATTTAATATCATGTGCATTTAGTTATTATCATGTGGTATTGTAACGATGGTGAAAATACTCTTCAACATGACAGTAATGAATTATAGGAGCAATTTTCTAGGGTTTTGGTGTATGCTTGAATTTTACAGCACTGTAAAAATACTCAAATGTCTCTGTCAATGTTTTCAAACATTAATATTTGATTTACCAAAGTCACATAAGTGGCAATTTCACATCTGTCACATCCATAGGTGTCACATCCATAATGAAGCTTTTCCCTCCTAAATGGAAATATGTCAGATAAAATAAAATGAATCATGTTTGTTCTACAGTGAGACAACTATTATCCTTTTGATTAGCATTGTTTCTTTTGGGCTGTGCAGTTTAATTCACTGAAATTCTACAGAGTATGTTGTAATACTGTAAACTCGCAGAGTTTTTGGTCACATCCATAACATGTTTATTTTCCTCATTTAAAGTACAAAATATGTTTACAGATTTATATTTTTCTGATCTCATAACTCTTTGGTTGGTTGTTTTGAAAAAATATAAACAGATGTTTTAATATAATGTAAACAAATAGTTTCTTTGTGAATTGATGTTTTGGGTTTTTACTGCAAATGTCATCTATAACTGTGGAATTGCTCATATGTGTGTGTGCCCATGTGTGTGTATAATTTACATGCATACAAATGCGAGATTGTTTCACTACCACATTTAATAAACAGCTAAAATGGACAGTAAAAAAAAGAGCAGTACATTTCCAAAAGTTAAGTTTGAACCCCTGTAGTGTGTGCTCTAGAATATTCTGTGCAAGTGTTTTTTATGGTGTCTGGTGCCATGGTGTGTCTACTCATGATTTCAACACTGTATGCAAATGAGGAGGAGAGAGACGATTTAGGAAAACAGAGAGACATGGGGTTGGTTGTGGGGATTGGCAGACTATTTGAACAACACTCCTCAGGCAAACGAACATGCTGATGCCCAACCAGCCAACATCATTAAAATGCTAATGTAGGGAAAAACAGGATCTCTTCGGCAGACAGACAAACCTACAGATACATTCATTATAAAAACCAAAACCACTAAAAAATCTCAAACTCAAAACCTCACCAAGACTCATAGGTTTAATGTGCTCAAAACTTCTTAGTTTTCTGCCATTACTCCAGAACAAATCCACCCTAACAACACATACTGAAACATCATGATGCTGCAACTAAACCTGCATTTTTGCGTAATTTACATACTGCATAAACATTATATACTCTACAAAGTCAAGTCAGTAAGATTTTTTAAAGAAATTGATATTTTTATTCAGCAATGATTTAACAAACCGATCAGTAATGGTTTTAAAGCATTTTTATTGTTACTTGTTGCGAATGCTTTATAATAAAAATATTTTGGTTTCAATTCTGTACATTGAATAACTCAGAATAACGTATTAAAAACTTTATTATGGCAAAAATCCACACAAAATAATTTTGTCCCATGATAAGAAATGTTTCTTTAGCTTTTGAGACTTAAGTAATGATTCTTAATATATATATATATATATATATATATATATATTGTCTTATGGCTGCCGTCACATCATCCAAGTGGATGCTGCACACTGGTGGTGGTGTGGAGAGACCCCCTAATGATTGTGAAGTGCTTTGGGTGTATGATCATACACAATAAATGGGCTACATAAATCCACATTACTTGCGTACTTACTTACATTCTATAGAATGCCTAGAAAATGTATAGTACGCCTAAAACCGAACGTCAAAGTATGAAATGATTGCTACTTTATACATTGCCTAGACATTCTAGAATGCCGAGTTGCCATGTGGCAAAGTATGCAACTGGCCTACCTCCACCATTGGGTCATTGTTTGATGATGGCGATCGAAGCACATGAGTGTTAAGCGTTATTGTAAGACAAAATATTGCCGGTACGAAATTCCACTACAACATCACAGACAATATTGCCATATTTCTTCTCACAATGTCAGTGTATATTATGCGGCTGAGGTTTCACAGACGTTATTCCCCGTAATGTTTGCTGGTAGATAGTTGTGTGACAATGTCGCAAGTGAGTGTAGTGCCAAGTTGGAATCATTGAATCATACCATGCTGACATGCAACGACAGTTCTACGATGAATTATCTCAAGTAAAAGCCAATGCTGCTTTTAATGATGTTTTTAGGAGCCAATGTGTTTTTTTTACTTTTAACTGGATTGCTAATTGCTTGAGCCCTGATCTCAAGGGATCTTTGAGCCCAGGGCTCCCCCCTTTTGCAGGGCGAGGGGAGATTGAGCTCAGGTCGATCTCAAACTCCCTCGCTGCTGAGGTCAAGGCGAACTTCCTGAGAGTAAGACATCATAAAAAAGGTTTAGGCTTATTTTATCTATAATATAGAGCACATTTGGACGGTGGGAGGAAACCGGGGAAAACCCACGGGGACACGGGGAGAACATGCAAACCCCGCACAGAAATACCAGATGGCTTAGCGAGGATCCAACGCCATAAGTATTCTTGCTGTGAGGCAACAGTCCTAGCCACTGGGCCATCATGCCACCCATTCTGGATAAAGGAGGAAGAAGGGGAGGAGGGGGTTTCTTCCAGATAGTTGTAGAAAGGAAATGAGAATATACATAGTGACAGTGACTTGGGATCCTTTGATTGGATGATCATGATTAGCTAATGTGGACCAGCTGGGTCAATCATGAGCACATGCTCCTCTAGAAATTAGTTGAAAATTAAACTTCACTTATTAAAGTTACTAATAATACAATTTCTTGTGCCCAAATGATTTAAACTCATACATGCATACTTAAAACACATGCTGATGATAAACTTTGACTCTACTATGGTTAATTACTCCACAAATCTCGGTGACTTCAGGTCAACTACAATTCCAACTTAAAATTGCAGATATGACTATTGTGGATGCGTACAGTGTTGTATCGATGCTGAAACAATACATTGTGATGCCCTTTTATGTGCTTGAGTAAAATGTGATTTTTGAGAGTAGAGATACACTTACCTAAACTGGTAGGTTTAATAAGCTCGTCCAGAAGGTCGTAGAAGGGCAACCGTTGCAGTTTAACATCAGGATGAACAGGGTGCAGGTTGGTAGGTAGATGGGGCAGGCCCAGCTCATGTTTGGGCCCGAGTAGGGATATGGGCATCAGAGGAGACGGGGGTGCACCGTGTCCGTCAAACCCCAGCTGTGTGAGGCCAGGGGGCAAAGAAGCAGCAGGATGAACTCCAGGTAGTGCTAGTTCAGCCGGAGACACCAGCTTGGTAGGAAAGCGTCGTCTATAGAGCTCCTTGATCTTCATCTGGACGGCGGGGCTGCAGCCAGCTTTAAGAAGGTGTAAGGCTTTAGTCAGGAGCTCGTGCTTTCGTCCATGTTTGTTTCGGCCTGCGTAGCCCAGGAGAACCTGCAGCTCTGACACCCGCAGGCTCATCACCATTTGCTATACAGGAGAAGGAAAGAAAGAGAGCAGTAGAAATGAACACGCAAATTCTGAGCCAAAGCAATAACAAAAATCACACTTCCAGCATCAAATACCCATCATTTGCATAGGCCAAACTGTTTACTGGGTAAACGCTGGGCAAGCTCGCTGCTCAGGCACTGATTTACACACATCTGAAGGCACACACACACACACACGGAGAAACCCACATCTCTCACATGCACGCTTTCCCTCAGGCTAGGATAGTTCAGTAATGGTCTAAGCTATGAAATATGCAGGAGCAGCCCCAAACACACACAAACACAACGGAAGTGTCACATTCCACAGGCTCGAAAATGAGACAGAGAAAACAAACAGTAGAGGGCAAACAATGCAGTCTAAAGACGGACAGTGTACATGCTAACATTCTGAATAATAAACCATTCTTCTACAGATTGACAAACACAGGTGGTCTAGATTGACTGACGTGTGTTTCCTCATGAAATTTAAGTGAAGGAGCAATTAAAAAAGAATGCTCTATTGTTATTTAAGCACACTTATGACCCTCACCTAAAATAAATATATACACTCACCGGCCACTTTATTAGGTACACCTTACTGGTACCGTGTTGGAACCCCTTTTGCCTTCAGAACTGCCTTAATACTTTATAGCATAGCTTTAAAAAGGTACTGGATGTATTTATCAGAGATTGTGGTCCAAATTAACAGGATAGCATCGCGCAGATGCTGCAGATTTGTCGGCTGCACATCCATGATGCGAATCTCCTGTTCCACCACATCTCAAAGGTACTCTATTAAATTGAGATCTGGGGCCTCATGTATCAACGCTGCGTACGCACAAAAACTTTGCGTACGCCAGGTTTCACGCTCAGAATCGCTCACGTTTGGATTTACTAACAATGAACTGAACGTGGGAATGTGCGCAGCTTCACGGCAGCTTTCTGGCAGGCGTACTCACATTTTTTGTGCGTGTCTGTTTTATTTCCATTGGCGACTCCTAGAGGCAGTTGTGTTAAATTCCTCTCAACAAAGTGTCTGAGCCTTGCAATAGCAGCTGTATGAGACGGGTTCAGCAGGTATATAAGGTTTCCATACCATACATTTAACCAGCTAAACAAGCACAATTTGCATCAGTCGCCTGTTTTCCCAATGTAATCTGAGAGATCTTACGCACGCACATTGCTATAAAGACACTATCTGAAGATGAATTTGCATGCATGAATCAGAAACATTTCCATTCAATAAATGTGCAAATAAAATATGATGCTTATTGATATGAACTTATTGATGATTCCTACTTGTCTTTCTCGTGATAAATAGTTGGCAAAATCTGATATGTAGCGGGGGAAAAAACAAGAATGAGTTCATCAGACGTACATATCAATTCATGATCAAAAAGCGTCTTACGAGCGCGCCACTGAGACTGTTAAGCGTCCTGCAACATTTTACAGATATAAACCACACTATTTCTTTTTTTAAAATACACTCAGTGCGATGTTCAGACCCAACTGTGTTAACTGCATCAGCTAAACTCTCCCACTCTATTTTTTTCTTTTGTTGTTAATTCCGGAGAACAAACTTGCAAATAACACCGCTTTTCTCCGGTCTACCTCCGAAAGCAGCACCTCCAATTCACATTCTGTTCAAAGTTTCTCTTTTTGCTTGCTTTTGCCATTGCTTTTTCGTTGGGTTTTCCATTAGCATATTCATTAGCATATTCATACGGGGGAGGAGGAAGGGAGGGGTTTTGTGCTCGTGCATGTTGCGCTCAGTTTCACGTTCATTCAGATGTACAAAAGAATATGCTTGAGATTCGGCGTACGCAGTTTTTCATACATCTGAATTTTTTTCTGCGTACGCACATTTACAGCTTTGTGCGTACGCAATGTTTTACTAAGATTTCCACGCAAGTCTTCGTACATGAGGCCCCTGGTGACTGTGGAGGCCATTTGAGTACAGTGAACTCATTGTCATGTTTAAGAAACTAGTCTGAGATGATTAGCGCTTTATGACATGGTGCGTTATCCTGCTGGAAGTAGCCATCAGAAGATGGCTACACTGAGGTCATAAAGATATAGACATGGTCAGCAACAATACTCAGGCAGGTTGTGGCGTTGACACAATGCTCAATTGGTACTAATGGGCCCAAAGTTAGCCAAGAAAATATCCCCCACACACCACCACCACCAGCCTGAACCGTTAATACACGGCAGGATGAATCTATGCTTTCATGTTGTTGAGGCCAAATTCTGACTCTACCATCCAAATGTAGCAGCAGAAATCGAGACTCATCAGCCCAGACAACGCTTTCCAAACTTCTATTGTCCAATTTGGCTGAGCCTTTGCGAACTGTAGCCTCAGTTTCCTGTTCTCAGCTGACATGACTCCACAGGAGTGGCACCCAGTGTGGTCTTCTGCTGCCCATCTGCCTCAAGGTTGGACGTGTTGTGCGTTTAGAGATCCTCTTCTGCATGCCTCAGTTGTAACAAATGGTTATTTTAGTTACTGTTGCGTTTCTAACAGCTCGATCCAGTCAGGCGATTCTCATCTGACCTCTGGCATCAACAAGGCATTTGTGCCCACAGAACTGCCACTCAATACTATTCTCTGTAAAACCTAGAGATGGCTGCGCATGAAAATCCCAGTAGATCAGCAGTTTCTGAAATACTCAGACCAGCCCGTCTGGCACCAACAACCATGCCTTGTTCAAAGTCACCTTTCTTCCCCATTCTGATGCTCTGTTTGAACTGCAGCAGATCATCTTGACCATGTTTACATGCCTAAATGCATTCAGTTTCTGCCATGTGATTAGCTGATTAGAATTTGCGTTAACAATCAGTTGGACAGATGTACCTAATAAAGTGGTCCGGTGAGTGTATTTAGTAATACATAAAAATGTCATATAAAAGTGTCCGAGCATCCAAACCATCAAGGACAATGTCATGTTTACCCTAATAGCTTATTTAAAGCAATTGAAATGCATTTCAAAATATCTTCTCATAGTCCCCAGAAGGACATTATACATTTAAAACACTAAATGATGAAAGAATTATAATTCTAGGCAAAGCTTTTCATTTAATCATTTGTGTTTGGAATCTGCACTATTCGCAAGTAACGTCTGTCAGCGTTCAATCCTGTGTAAATATATCTTAGCTTCTCATTTAGACACGATATTAGTTTAGAATTAGTCAGACAATAAAAAGCTAACAATGCACTGATTAACAACTCAATCCCTGTGCTTCACACAGACAGATGATCTTACAACTAAGAGCCAGCCAGACATTCCTAAATAAAACACATGATGCATTTCTACTTTAAAGTGTGTAGAGAAGAGCAGAGAAGAGGTTGGTTCAGGAGGAGAAAAAAAACAGAATGACAGTGGGCATACGAGAGAGAGGAGAGAGAAGAGAGAGAGAGGGAGAGAGAGAGAGAGAAGAGAGAGAGAAGAGAGAGGAGAGAGAAAGAGAGAGAGAGAGAGATGGGGGAAGGGCAGAGACATGAGCTGCTCGGCTTCCAAAACAAATGAAACTGAACACACATACACATGCGCACACATAGAGACCGCTCCAGTAAAAATACTCAGCAGGCATAATGCTGTTTGAAAGCACAGTCTGCCGACAAAGGAACCATGGCTGCAGCTTACAACAACGACTTTAATTTCCTAGATAAAAAAAGCCAAAACATAACATTCCAAACAGTCATTAATTCACTGATCCATCATGTTCAAACAAGTGTTTTGGAAACAAATCCGAGAATGGCAATCAATAACTGAGCTGTTGAAGGAATAGAGAAATCAGACACTAAAGCAGACACACACATCCTTAAGGTCTGGTAATACACAAGGGAGAAAAAAAAAGTGGCAGAAAAAGGCAGGTGAAATACAGCAGAGCATACAGTAACATCTCACATAACAAACACACTGACAACACAGGAGACTCACATGGGACTGAAGAGAGAAAGAGACAAAATAAGAATTCATGATGTAGCTTATGAGTCTGAACAGTTCAAATGAAATAAGAGAGAGAGATGGAGAGAGAGAAATGGAGAGATAGAGAGAGCTCCTGACCACGATCATGCATACTGCATAAGTCAAATGCTTCACATGTAAGTCTGCACGTCTGTCAGTGCTGTCTCTCTGCTTCACACTTCATTTTTTCACATGATCGGGGTGTCGAAGCAGTGAGATCTTTTAGCAGTCAAATAATGTGCTAATGAGCGCATTGGAGAAATTATGGAAAACAGAAATTGGTACAATTTTAAAGGAGTTAGGTTGAATTAACTTACCAGTAATTAAATATCAAATGGTGTGAGATGCATACATAATCAGACAAATGGGACAAATAGGCTTTTCTGTACAATGAACAACGTTTTAAAAGAATGTCTGAATTGCTGGTCATGTGAGAAGCTGAGCTTAATTGTCAACTGAGCTCTATATAGATGCTATGTGTGAAAAAAGTGCACTGAGAACAAACCTCTGCATGATGTAAGAAGTCTGCTCTCTGTCAAGAGTTTTAGCCAATCACAACGTGACTGGAGTAAGAGTTTGAGCCAGTCATATTTAACTGTGAGGTTTTCCCAACACGCAGAGTTCACTTTAGAGATTTTTTTTTAATTAAAATATCCAAAAAACAACTTGAAGTTTTGCATATTTTGCTGATTTATGTACTTACATTATGTCAAATGTCTTGAAGAGTGTCCAAATCAAGTAATTTTCACTAGTGTCCAGTCTCGCTATGCTAATGATGTCATACGCCGTCAATTACTAATTTGGTTTTACAGCAAACAGGGAAATACCAAAACTGCTTTAATATATTGGGTGTTTTGTTAGACATTTAGTATGATAAAAATGCAGTGCTGCTTCTTTACAATGTGATCATGGCCAGAACAACTGGAAGCAGTCAACTGGCATAAAAAAACTCCGCTGCTTTCATGCCTTGTAGGTTTAAAACTAGGGCTGTGTATTGGAAAGGGCTTCACGATATGATACATATCACGATACA